CCCAATGTCTCACCAGCCTGTGAGTAATATGATGTTCATTTGGCCATACATTGGAACATGTTGCGGCTATGGAAGAAATGCAAGAAAACAGACACTGTACCTCACTTGTGTTGTTGATTATTTGTTTTGTGTTCGATTGTCAATCACTCAGCTCAATCATAGTCTAGACAAAAAGGATCAATCAAACGCATTTGGTATTTCATCATAGTGGTCTCTGACTTGAGGCCAGACTCGCCCAGGTGGAACAAACTTATGGTGAATTGAATATCATTGAGAAAACAGAAAAGTGTCAATGTATTTTTTCTGCAAACATCCTTTCTGAAATTAAAAGTAATCGAATAAGTAATCATCTATTTTTTCTAAAGTATCTGTAATCTGATTACAATATTTTTGCTGGTAACTGTTATAGTTTTTTGTAATCAGTTACTCCCCAACCCTGATCTTATTCATAGTTTTATTTTCTGGTTGATAAATTGCATCCCACAGGGTTTGCCATTACGCAACGGTGTGTAAATCATTCCAACATGACAAGTCATTTGGGTGGATACAAGACCTAATAATAGTTAGCAAAAGCTCCAAGGCTGTGCGACAGCAAATACAACCTATTATAGATGGATTAAAAGGCCATTTTACAAGCTACATACGTCAAACAATTTTATTTGTGTCCTCCTTTGCCACACAACTCCCTTCCCTTTTGAAGCACAATTATTATAGGAATAGGTTAGGCAAAAAACGAACGTCAAGGTGATGTTTTGTTTGTGTATAAACCGATCCTAATCAATTACAAAATGTGAAATTCAGTTATCAAGAAGTTTAAGTTCAATATAGTTCATAACCAAATATATTAAAGCTTTTTGATTGAGCTACTCTTTTAGTCTCTGAGAAAATCCACTGGAGCTGATGTGCTTGATCCATTTTTGCTGCAGCTCTCTGCCCCCCTGATTGCTGAATCATTAACCCATAGTTTTTACCTGACGATTATATCTGGTACTATCCCCAAGTTTTGGAGGGTGGCCCATGTACTCCCCCTTCACAAAGGTGGTGACCCTTGTGACCTAAATAATTATCAGCCTAGTTCTAAACTCTCTTGCCTAGCTAAAATATTTGAATCCTTAATTAATTCTCAGCTAAGATCTTTCTTATCTTTGAAATGTATTCTAAATGTACATTAGTCAGGTTTTAGACCAGGTCATAGCACTATCTCTGCTGCATCCCTAGTTATAAATGATGTGGTTAACTGTATGGATAAAAGGCAACATTGTGCTGCCCTCTTTATTGACCTGTCAAAGGCTTTCGATACTGTTGATCACTCACTGCTAATTCAGAGGCTTTCCTCAATTGGCCTAGACCAGGCTGCATGTAACTGGTTAATGAATTTTTTGGGGGGGGATAATTGTTTTCATACACATACCATGTCCATAATGTAGAGGCCTATGGGATTTTCATTGAAGAGGTAAGGGAGGAGGATGGTACATGTGATCTGCATAACATACCAATGCCAATTTACATACCTTTGTATGCCTCCTCGTCTGCATACCTACAGACACAAAAGTGAGTAGTTCAGTCATCTGCACCCAACATGGGCGGTGTGTTCAATAGGGCGATATGGGCGACGCACTGCCAAACGGGAAAAGGAAGGGAATTTTTTTCTAATCAATTATATCACGGCAACAGTAGTTATCAGTGTTCACGTCTGATCTGCCAGCCACTAAATATCAAATCAGGCTAAAGTCGTGCTTCAAATGGCCCCGCCCGTTTTTGGGGCGATTTCAGTCAAGTTGAAAATCGCCCAGAAGTCTCTCATAGCCTGTCATGTAAAATCTATTTTTTTCAAATTTCAAAGCTTTCAATACATTCTCTATGGGTGTCTGTGGGCATGCACTTACGCGCTTTCGTCATACGTGACGTAACCATGAACGTAACTAAGACAATGGCGGCTAGCAGCGTCTCTGTTGTGACCTGCAGTGTGGCGTTATTTTATGTTTTTAATTTGTAGACTTAGTTTACAAACATTCTGCAAACATTCTGCTTTGAACTGATCTTTCGGTTTTGGACTGATCTTGTTGATCGTGTACATACCCGCTACGAACGGACTAAATAATGAAAACGCTGCAGGCAGCTGTAATCCCAATACAGCTGGGAGACTTGGCTGGATGACAGAGTCCCGGACAGAGAAGTGGAGCCGGCCACCTTCACCCTGGTCAGAGCGGACCGCGATCCTGGTAAGAGAGCGACTCTGTACCCCGACATTGAACTGCTTTCTGTGTCATTGCGACCTTACTATCAATTCAATTCAATTTAAGGGCTTTATTGGCATGGGAAACGTGTGTTAACATTGCCAAAGCAAGGGAAGTAGATAGTAAACAAAAGTGAAATAAACAATAAATATTAACAGTAAACATTACACTCAGAAGTTTCAAAAGAATAAAGACATTTCAAATGTCATATTATGTATATATACAGTGTTGTTACAATGTGCAAATAGTTAAAGTACAAATGGGAAAATAAATAAACATAAATATGGGTTGTATTTACAATGGGGTTTGTTCTTCACTGGTTGCCCTTTTCTTGTGGCAACAGGTCACAAATCTTGCAGCTGTGATGGCACACTGTGGTTTTTCACCCAGTAGATAAGGGAGTTTATCAAAATTGGGTTTGTTTTCGAATTCTTTGTGGATCGCTGTAATCTGAGGGAAATATGTGTCTCTAATATGGTCATACATTTGGCAGGAGGTTAGGAAGTGCAGCTCAGTTTCCACCTCATTTTGTGGGCAGTGTGCACATAGCCTGTCTTCTCTTGAGAGCCAGGTCTGCCTACGGCGGCCTTTCTCAATAGCAAGGCTATGGTCACTGAGTCTGTACATAGTCAAAGCTTTCCTTAAGTTTGGGTCAGTCACAGTGGTCAGGTATTCTGCCACTGTGTACTCTCTGTTTAGGGCCAAATAGCATTCTAGTTTGCTCTGTTTTTTTGTTTGTTCTTTCCAATGTGTCAAGTAATTCTCTTTTTGTTTTCTCATGATTTGGTTGGGTCTAATTGTGTTGTTGTTGTTGTTGTTGTTGTTGTTGTCCTGGGGCTGTGTGGGGTCTGTTTGTGTTTGTGAACAGAGGCCCAGGACAAGCTTACTTAGGGGACTCTTCTCCAAGTTCATCTCTCTGTAGGTGATGGCTTTGTTATGGAAGGTTTGGGAATCGCTTCCTTTTAAGTGGTTACTATCTGCCCCGTGAGTTCCCCCAATTGTTTGTTACCGTTGTGTACTGTTGATAATCACAAGTTTACTGGAGAACTGAGACCAAGTAGAGACTTTGGACAGGGTGGATATGGTATAATAAAGGCAGTTTATTCAGAGGTAAAGATATCTGGAATCGCGTGCACGGACTCGTTCGTGCACGCGAGTAAAGTAAAAGTGTCCTGTCTTAGGTCAGCTAGGATCACCACTCCTTGGCCACCTGCTGACAAGGCTGACAAGATAGGACTCTTTTGTCCATTGTTATAGGATAGGAACAGAAACAAACGCCCAACACAAAATGGGTCATGCACAAGATTTTAGTCAGACCAAGCTATAACATTATATATTTACTACGACAGTACATTCAACCAAAAGCTAATATAACAAAGGCATCAGAGATTATTTATAATCTGTCACAGAAACTGGAATCCATCTCCCCAGATCAGTCAATAAATGCTTCTGGTATTGACTTATATGCTGCCCCTGTCTTCATGTTGTTGCTGGACATATCTTTTTTAAAATGTGTGTAGGTCACCTAAATCATCAGAAAAATTGCCCCTCCTGAGAATTTTTTCAGGAGCCGCCACTGGAATACAGCTAGCCTTCAACATATGCTTATAGCCTACATATTCTTACCTATTTGTTGATTGATATCCATTGAATTGTGTAAATTTTCTTCTGTTTTAGAAAGATTTGCACAAATATGAAAAGATAGATGGTATCATCATAAAACAATATCAATTTAGATCATACAAGGGACAAACCTTACCTTAAATTGAGGAGATCTTTAAATGTTTCAGTTAAGTGCCTGCACCAAGTGTCCTTTAAAATTTAAAATCCAAATGTTTCAGTTGGGCAGTTAGGTTCCTGCAAGAACCCCCACCAACTAAGGAGGTTCCTCTATGAACCCCACCTCCTTTGGGGTTCTTGGAATAACCTTTTTGGGTGCAATTTTCAGTGCCAAGAACCCTAAGGTTCTTCGAAGAACTTTGAGGATCTTAGAAGAACCCTTGTTGAACCCCTAGGTCCTCAAGTTCCCAATAGCTCAGTTGGTAGAGCATGGCGCTTGCAACGCCAGGGTTGTGGGTTCGTTTCCCACGGGGGGCCAGTATGAATGCACTCACTAACTGTAAGTCGCTCTGGATAAGAGTGTCTGCTAAAATGACTAAAATGTCAAATGTAATTTTTTGAGTGTAGGTTGATACATTGCTATGTTTTCATTTATAAAGCCCTTTTACAAAAAGTCCCACTGTACCGAGCATCATTACTACATTTTAGACATACGAGTTACCACACCTGGTCTCAGGGATGGCTAACTCTGGACATTCCTTTGGTCTCTACTGAGTTAGGTAAATCAGCTTTTAGTTTTCTTGCACCTTATTTGTGGAACAATCTTCAAAATCTTCTTAAATGTGATGTTCTGGTGTCTCTAGGGCAATTCAGAAAGCTGATTTAGGACATTATTACTGATGAATGTGTTTGTTTTTTATAACCATGTTTTAGTTTCTGCTTGCATTTTGTATTTTAATGTGTGTATTCTCTGTAATTTTATGTAATTCAGGGCTCATCTGTAAATAACACCTTGGTCTCAGGATGACTCCCTGATAAAATAAAGGTTAAATACAAATTCCCATTGTATTGTTAAATGAATGCAGCCCAGCCAATGGTTTACACACAAGTGTCAGGACAAATATAGATATCATTTTTTTCCAGATCCAATTCAATGTAGTGTGTGTTCAGGTCAAACAAATGTTTGAAGCAAACAGAGTTGAGGTGTGATTCACCGCTCACTAATTTTTATCACGGCCCAGCCTCAGACCCATGTGGTTAGGTTTCCCCAGATAAAAGACTGGTACCTCACCCTGCAGATGACAAACTACATCTCATCATTGAAAAGTCCATACTTGAGAAGTTAAATAATTTGTATCATATATTTGGTTGAATTCGTTTAACTAGTCTGATTTTACCCATCAAGATGGTACGACCTTCGACGAACCTTTTGAGGATTACACAATGCGTCTTAATATTTGTCATCTCAGGTAAGATAATGCATCCAGTTAAGTAAATACAACATTATTGTTGCTTTATGGAAAAAGGAAGGAGAAATGTTTCTGTGGCTTGAATTTTGAAAAATGTCACACTTGATTTGCCCTAACAAAAAAATGTTTCAGCCCCTACAAAAAATGTGACTGGTGATTGTCTTGGCGTTGAGTCAGGTGTATTTGCCTGATTTTAAGTGGGAAAAGATGCCCTATATTCTGTGACTTGATAATACTATTATTTTGAAATATATTCAATTCAATCTACTTTGGTTTGACTCATTTGAGCTAAAAGGAAAATGGTCCTTGTATACTGTAATCCTAGTCCCAACCATAAATGCCTTGCATAATAATGGCAGTGATGGAATCACTCAAGAGTGTTCTCTACAGACAGAACTCCATGAGTTGAGCATCCCACAACAACTAATTAGCAAAGTCAATCTAAGTGCGAACACTTTTGAGAGGGATGTTGTACTTCAATTGATGTCTGATGCGAATAGAGTAATTTAAAGCTAAAGAGTAATGAGGAAAGAGTAATCCGGTACACATTGAATTCTATGTCGGGCATAAACGAGCATTTGGGTGAGGAACGTTTCCTCTCACGACCTCTATAAGCCAGAATGTTAAATAAAATGAGATTTCAATTTACTTTACAGGTTGTACGTGTGGTTGGTCCTTTTGCAGGTAGGAATGTGAGACAATATATCCACAGGAAAGTATAATTACATCAACCTTTCAAAGCGCTGGTAGTGCGTTCAGATTCGTATCAGTTGAAGCAAGATGAAAATACATGCACGAGACGTTTGCATACTTGCCAAGCACGTGTTTACATGGTTCTGCGCATGCTTCAGGTGATAGAAATCTGAACGCACTACCAGCGCTTTGAAAAGTTGATGTAATTATGCTTTCCTGTGGATATATTGTCTCACATTCCTACCTACAAAAGAACCAACCGCACGGACAACTGGTAAAGTAAGTAAAAATACAATTTTATTAAACAGTCGTCAGGCTATCTCAAACTATACAGCCAACAGCTAGCTCTAAGTGTGCTACAGATGTAGGATCTTAATCTCTTTTGCTGCTGAGAATATTCCTGCACTTTACTGACTTTATTGTCCCCATAAGGAAATGTTGTTGCAGTATCCTGTACATGTTTAAAGTGACGTTTAAATACAGTAGACAACAAATTGACAATACAAAATTCATAAATTACATACACAGCAGGAAATGCAAACTTGTAGTGTATTCAAGATTTAAAAAGGCTTCTAACGTTTGTAATTTCCACTTTAAAATGACAGACTTGATTTGCCCTAATGAAAAATGTATCAACCCTTACAAAAAGTGTCCATTAATTATAATCAACATAATAATTCGCATTTCCTGTTGCTGCAGGCTAATTTTCCTGCTGTAGCAAAATGGCTCAAATTAAGACCCTACATCTATCTGTAAGCACTCTAGGCTACCTCAAATATCCTCTGATTCCCAAGATTAAAGTTTGTCCATGTTACACTCACAGCCTTAATTTATCCACTTGAGTAAGGTGTATATTTTGCTTCCCACAGGTGCCCTGTCTGCCAGCTTCTTTCGAGTGCCCCGCTCAGTCACCCCAGCGGGTATGAGCACCACCCCCACAGCAAAAATGGCCTACCAGATCTGCATGGAGATCACCAATCGGGTCTTCAATGACTCCCTATTGAATCCAAATTCCGAGGACTACAAGAAAATGTATGACGAGGTCAACCAATTGGTAAGATTGAGAACCATAGTCATATGACTTTTCATAGATCTGAAAAGTCATAGTCAATCGATCAATAATATAATAATACTTTTAGCAAAAATGTTTATTTTCAATTCACAATCTGTAGAAACAATGAGAATAGAAAGGTTCAGAACCTTTGTAAGACATCACAGTACAGTTGAAATATATATATGGCAAATATAAATCCTATATGGATGGTGTTAGGAGATAGATGGGAGGTGTTGAATGGAATTGAAGGATGGGACTAATAACAACAAATAATAACAAGATAACTAATAATGTAAGCATACTGTGTCCATAATAAGTATATAGGTTGTAGGTTGGGAGCTTTTGTGAAAGAGCACAGTTAGAAAGATATGGCATATAGAAGCAAACCGGATGGACATCATGAAAATGATCGGAGAGGTTGAGAGTAGAAGAAGTTCAGGAGAAAAAACAAACAAAATATAATTATTGTAAAATTGACTGTGTCCATAAAATGTAGATAGTAAGTATAAACTGGAAGTAGAGGCCTAAGCATTGTTGTTCACTAGTTTACTCCAAGTAGGGAAAGGGTGGCGGGGTTGGAAAGTAATAAAGGGGAATATATATATATTTTTTAAGGATATGTATATGTGTGTATATACAGTGAAGGAAAAAAGTATTTGATCCCCTGCTGATTTTCTACGTTTGCCCACTGACAAATAAATGATCAGTCTATAATTTTAATTGTAGGTTTATTTGAACAGTGAGAGACAGAATAACAACAAAAAAATCCAGAAAAACGCATGTAAAAAATGTTATAAATTGATTTGCATTTTAATGAGGGAAATATGTATTTGACCCCCTCTCAATCAGAAAGATTTCTGGCTCCCAGGTGTCTTTTATACAGGTAACGAGCTGAGATTAGGAGCACACTCTTAAAGGGAGTGCTCCTAATCTCAGCTTGTTACCTGTATAAAAGACACCTGTCCACAGAAGCAATCAATCAATCAGATTCCAAACTCTCCAAGGATGTCAGGGACAAGATTGTAGACCTACACAAGGCTGGAATGGGCTACAAGACCATCGCCAAGCAGTTTGGTGAGAAGGTGACAACAGTTAGTGCGATTATTCGCAAATGGAAGAAACACAAAAGACCTGTCAATCTCCCTCGGCCTGGGGCTCCATGCAAGATCTCACCTGGTGGAGTTGCAATGATCATGAGAACGGTGAGGAATCAGCCCAGAACTACACGGGAGGATCTTGTCAATGATCTCAAGGCAGCTGGGACCATAGTCACCAAGAAAACAATTGGTAACACACTACGCCGTGAAGGACTGAAATCCTGCAGCACCCACAAGGTCCCCCTGCTCAAAAAAGCACATATACAGGCCCGTCTGAAGTTTGCCAATGAACATCTGAATGATTCAGAGGAGAACTGGGTCAGATGAGACCAAAATCGAGCTCTTTGGCATCAACTCAACTCGCCGTGTTTGGAGGAGGAATGCTGCCGATGACCCCAAGAACACCATCCCCACCGTCAAACATGGAGGTGGAAACATTATGCTTTGGGGGTGTTTTTCTGCTAAGGGGACAGGACAACTTCACCGCATCAAAGGGACGATGGACGGGGCCATGTACCGTCAAATCTTGGGTGAGAACCTCCTTCCCTCAGCCAGGGCATTGAAAATGGGTCGTGGATGGGTATTCCAGCATGACAATGACCCAAAACACAAGGCCAAGGCAACAAAGGAGTGGCTCAAGAAGAGGCACATTAAGGTCCTGGAGTGGCCTAGCCAGTCTCCAGACCTTAATCCCATAGAAAATATGTGGAGGGAGCTGAAGGTTCGAGTTGCCAAACGTCAGCCTCGAAACCTTAATGACTTGGAGAAGATCTGCAAAGAGGAGTGGAACAAAATCTGGTGCAAACCTGGTGGCCAACTATAAGAAACGTCTGACCTCTGTGATTGCCAACAAGGGTTTTGCCACCAAGTACTAAGTCATGTTTTGCAGAGGGGTCAAATACTTATTTCCCTCATTAAAATGCTAATCAATTAATAAAATTGTTGACATGCGTTTTTCTGGATTTTTTTGTTGTTATTCTGTCTCTCACTGTTCAAATAAACCTACCATTAAAATTATAGACTGATCATGTCTTTGTCAGTGGGCAAACGTACAAAATCAGCAGGGGATCAAATACCTTTTTCCCTCACTGTGTATATATATATATATATTTAAAAAAAGATTGAGAACCATTCCTTGAATAAACAATACCACTATGTAAACTATACCACAGCATGGGCCTATAGGCTGTTCTGGCTCGGACAAGGCTTACTTGTCCAAGGCTTGCTTACTTACTTACAGCAGGAATGATCTCTGAAAGTGATGGTCTCATGACAATGATAGAAATGGTGGACTAATGTAGTATTTTGCAGCTTGCTGAAGTCTACGGGTGTCCTACGTGCTCAACAGGATCCGTTTATGGGGGCATTGCAACAATGACTTTCAGGTACAGTAAACTTGACTAAGTCACCTGGACTTGACTTAGACAGAAATGTCAAATTATGACTTGGAATGACTTGACTCGTCTAAACTACATAAGCTCGTAAAAACTATAGCTTCAATGACGCAAGATCCTTAATGTTAAGTTTTGGTGGGTTAGGGTCGAGTTTAAAACAGACATCAATCTTTGAAACAAAATAAAAACATTGAAAATGGCTGTGCCTCACACAGGGCCCGAACATGTGATCTTCTGGTTTACAATCCGTGTTTAATGCCCGCAATCCACCTGGTTAAGGTTGGTTGTTGGATTTGTTATTATACTGTATTATCTTTAACTTTCTTAATTTTCGGAATCTTATCTTTCACAGACATGGATCAGTGATAGCAAACGCTACCATCATTTTCTACACAGAGGCTATCAATCAATGGGTGGTCAAGTTTCTGTTCCTGGAAAATATCAAAGACAAACCTTCTGCCCTCCAGATAAATACACATTATACTGAATGTAAGACATACAAATATACCAATTGTATTTTTCCATAATGTAATATTGATTGATTCATTACTCTGATAAATTGTTTTACCTGAGTGAGTTCCCCTTTTCTCTGTTCAGTTGAAGCAACACCAGTACCAGCCGTGGTTCCAAACATAACCATCCCCACCACACCTACTACAACCATAACATCTACGACTTCCATGACTACAACCACTACTACTAACCAGCCAACAACCACTCCATTGTCTACAACTACAACTACTTTTGACAAAACCATAGAAGGTCAAATTAGCGTTGTAACCCTCTCTACCACTACAGGCAGTGGAATGAAAAACGCTAGTGTACGCAGTACATCCAGTCCTACATCTACGTCTTCTTCAGTGATAACCGATGGTTCAGGAGGAAACAACAGGACCAATACAACTCTTCTACCAACAACAAGTCATGGTGCAAGTACTTCACCTGGGAGGGTGGACCCAGCAAAAACCAGTAAGAGACCAACTACCTCCCCATCTAGTGGTTTTACCAAACGTCCCCTGAAGCCTTCCACCAGGCCTCAGTCAAGCACCACAACTAAATCTAGCACAACTGCCAACATGGCTTCCGGGGGTAATGATGGTGGGTTCAGTGACTGGGTACCAGGATGGGCCATTGCTCTGTTGGTGTTAGCCGCTGTCATCCTGCTACTCCTCATTATCATCTTCATCATGATGGTGAGTAACCTGCATGGTATTCTGGGTCCATTTGACACTTTAACGCCAATAGTTTTCCTCACTGTCTGATAGCTTTTTTATGTTACTCTCTCAACAGGTGGTGCGTTGGTGCTGTAAAAGGTCAAAAGATCTGTACACTCATGAAAGAAAGAGCTTCCCCAACATCGGCTCTTTCCCAGCATATGTCTCCCATGGCCCCCAAGCCCCCATACAGGAGCAACCCAATGGAAAGACCTTTGAGACCATTGTAAGAATACCTCTAAACATGAAGTCTGATCATCTGATAATGCACTTATAGTCGTCTACCTCAACATAGCCTTTATCTGCCATTGGCTCTGGAAATTTTGAATATTACAGCTGCTAGTATTACTAATACTACATTTAGTGCAATACAATACAACTTTATCACATTGACCTGGCCCCCTATGTACATTTTATGATACTTATTATAATCAATAACAAAGGAATAGGAACAATAATACTTTTGATAATCTACAATCCAGCTTCCTCTTTAATCTCAGAGGCCTTCCTTTTGGCCTTTGGTCTTCCTTTGGGGTTATCTCTGAGTAAAGTTTGTTATCAAAGCACTCTAGTGTCTGGATGTAACAACTCAAGTGCATCTTGTTGTCAAAAGCTGTGGTTATCTGTATTAGCCACAAATGGAAGGAACCATATAGTGGGGAAAACAAATGAGGCATACCTCTACAAAACCACGTCAAGGCAACATCTGCAAACTGAAAAGTCAGAGTGAAAGACTTTAATCCAAATATTTGAAAAGTGTTAAAAAGTGAATTGGACTAACAATGCTGAATGGATTTCATGAAATTCGCCTACACCATTTTTGCATGGGTTTTTTAAATAGGAAGTTCTGAAATGAATGCATCTGTCTGATACTGAGTTATATCTCTCAACAGGATGACCCACGAAAGAAGAATAAAACAGGCATGTACATAGTGAACCCCTGAGCAGGAAGATGTGGAGGTGACATACCAACAGGTATCTAAATCCAACACAGCTCCTGATTGGTGGTTTTAACAGACCCACAATCTAAGACCGTTCTGGATTGGTTGTGAATGTTATGTCACTCTAAAATACGGCTTAAAATATAATTGACCTGTGACATACAAATAACATATTGCTCAGGATAGTTGTGACAGCCACGTTTTGCGTATTCAAGTTCAGGTACATATGGATACATGAATCGAATGATGTCTGCAGGTTCCACCTGTTGACAGTATCCATATCCCATTGTCCAAATCTATTACGTTTCCCAGTTGTCATCATAGCAACAAGAATAAAGTTCCAAGACATTTGCAAAACACAAAGAGCAGAATCGAAAGGACTGAGAAAGGAGGAGGGGCCAGAAAGCTTTGGGCTCAAGTGCTTACCACAGGGACAAATGGGTAGAGCGAGCCCTTTCACCTTAAACAAATTAAACCAAGCCACACAGTACACAGCCAGATAATCCAAATAACAGGGGAGAAGCATAACGCAAGCAAATGCATTCATCTGTGCTCTTTGCTATTGTTATTAATACAAATGAAGTCAACCTCATAATACTGTTCTACAATGGCTTTTACATTGCAGTACATTACACACAAGCAGAGCACACAAATACATTAAACTATTCAAAATACAATACACAGTGGAGGGAGTTAAAGGAAATAGTCAGTTAATCACATTACAGGAATTTATGCAAATCATTTGCAGCACGATCATGGCCAAGATATATTTGAGGTTAAAAATGAAATAGATATGGTTTCATTGTGTTGAGTGTCAACGTGCACAGTGATGGAATGATGGAACACATTCAATCTAATTCGCAACCTGTAGTTTAGTTTTCTTGACATCCAATAGGCCTGCTATGGGCAGAGAGGGGTCAAATTAAAACAGTTTGTCTTTCCTATTTGATATCAGATTATGTTGGAACAGTACCCAGCTTGTCCATTCACAGCAACGCCCTACAATCTTTTATGCATTCTTAATGCCACTATATGTCTCTCTTACAAAGGCTTATAAGGGATACTTCCTGTGAATGGCACCCAGCACCATTGTTTTGTTGGTGATTGATACCACTGTACTTACCTTGGTAGTAAAGGCGGCAGATTGACTCACACCTGCATTCTAGTGGCCCTGCCCAGTGCATGTGAATCGAATTGATAATAGCCTCAAATGTAATGGCTCAATATTGTATGGGAAGAAGCCTATACAATGCTGCCTCTCCCCACTTCCCATTGTGAGTCATTCATTGGCGATATGTTCCCATATGAGGCTCAATCAAAATGAGTCATTATTTTAGACGAATTGCAAAAAAACTGGATTGTCCACCTTGTGTGTGTGTGTGTGTGTGTGTGTGTGTGGTTTGAATAACCTGTAATTTTCAGTGTAAATGACCAGTAAATGTGTTCAATGAGAATATGTAATATTGGCATAAACAAGCAATTAAATTATTGGGAAAATCAACAGTAGGGCCTTGGTTCCATACTATGGGTGAGGATGTTTATTAATAGGTCTGGTCAAGCCAAACCCCCTTGAAACATATTAACATGCTTGATGAATAAAATAATAATCTATCTGATATGAATGATAATCATTATTTATTTTTACAGGTAAACTCTGGTCAGCAGAACAAGAACAGATAAAGATGAGCTACAAGCAAAACCAAGTCACAGCCTCTGTAAATATTTATAGTTTGTTAGGAATTTAGTATGTTAAGGATGAAAATGATCGGAATGAATGGTTTCATACTTTTTTATTTATGACACTTGTTTGCACATAAATATTGGGCAACCTTGCTAGTATTTTTATTACTCTATATGACGTCATCATCTTTGACCCTGTTATCAACACAACCAGCGTCTTTTTTGAGTGTGTTATATTCTGACTTTCCATTTGTACTAATAAATATTGGTACAAATATCTCAAGTTTTGCTTTGCATCTTGTGTAACTGTTCAATTGTATTGTATAATGCTAAAGATTATTGTAAAAAAAATATACAGTATGTGAAAATCAAAGAGTGCATTCCTTAATTGTTCAGATATTTGAATAGGGAGTTTACAGTAATAATGTGATATCTTGCAAAATGGAAATAGATGGAGGGCTGAATCCTAAGAGATCCCATTGATGTCAATGGAAGATTAGCAAAAACTCAAGTTACATGCACAGATCTTAAGTTAGCTTTGGGAGTTGAGCACTACACATGTAAATAGAAGTAAAATCATTAGTGTCCTGGATTTCTGTGTATTGAGTTTGTATCACATCATGTTATGTACAATTTAATAGAATACTTAATTGTGTCCTCATTAAAGTGACAGTTCACTCCAACATAAAAGTTGGTATTTTTTTTACCTTAAAAGTAGTTTAATGTAGAAATAAGTACATGCTTCAAGTCATCTGATCTGAAGTCATTCACAATGCATGCAATCCCAAATGTCCTTTGGTTTACATAACATTTGGTTGAGGCATTATTGATTTACAGATATAGGATGTGGGCTGGTACAAAGTACTGCTTACCTGTCCATGTAATCTACACACCACACCCTTAAAGGAAGGACACACCTTTTAAATGGGAAATTCATATTTATTTGAGCCCAATGCGAATACAATTAGCATTACATAAGCAGACAGGTTGTTTAGCATGTGTGGTATAGTAGTCCCCTGTAGCTCAGTTGGTAGAGCATGGTGCTTGCAACGCCAGGGTTGTGGGTTCGTTTCCCACGGGGGGCCAGAATGAAAATGAAAATGTATGCACTCACTAACTAACTGTAAATCGCTCTGGATAAGAGCGTCTGCTAAATGACTCAAATGTATATGAGTAATATGTGAATGACACGATGCTCCAAGAAAATTATATTTCTCTCAATCCATCTCACTGTAAGGTGGAGGTGGTTTGATGAAGTACTTTGATAGATTAACTATATTCGCATGATGAGTAAACCTGACTGAGATCTGAAAACTTGTGCTTTATATTGCTTTTTTAATCATTATTAAATATTAAATTAAGATTAAATGCTTTATTAAATATTGTGGCATGTTTTGTCTTGCACAAAAAAAGGAAAAAAAACTCCAATAAAATATAGGAAAACCAAATATGTATTTATGTGTATTATGCTTTAGTAAGACTTTAGCTCAGCAGGCTAACCGTCTGTTGGAGTGCAGACGTTCAAAGCCAGGTTCAAACCCAGTTGGTACCACAGGTGTATGTATATGTCCGGAATAAGAAGGATATATATAAATATAATAAGCCTGTGAAAATCTTCCTTTACAACCATGAACACCAAATCCACATTGTGTTTGTGCACTATGAGTTGTAAAGGACAGGGTCAATACATGATGGGGAATGTCAACAGTCTACAGAATAAAACAGACTTTCAGGCCGTAATCCCTCTAAGCTTTACACAAATACTCAGGTGTGTTCAGCTGAGCTCTTCCTGTCGTACGTGCTCCCAGTGTGATTGTAATGAGATGGTTTTGAGAAAACGTAATAATTTTGGTGCAAAAGACCCTCAACCAGAACCATGTAATCCATTGAATATATTTCCATTCCATTTTTTGTTCCAAACATGTTGCAAACGAACACACATAGAAAACTTGATATGCCTATTTTGGCCCATTCAATGTGAATTCTTCAATATCTAACTTTTATGTGCGTTCCTTATTCATAACTGTGTTGTTTGGAACTCATATGGAACTAGAAATGGATTTAATCATTCCATGGATCACACAGGCCACCCACAATCACGGGGGGCTGTTTTTTTGGAGCTCACAGCTTTCGACAGTTACTCCTCCCCATACCCTAAACGTCATTATAACTTTGGAGGCTTGGGTAAAACCGTTTCTATACCATTAATTGTCATATGTGATTATATATAAAATACCTGGATGTGTAGTTTTTATACGTTAGTTAGACAGATAAAGACAGTCAACTAACAAGCCAACTTAATACTATTTTAATACATTTGATTTATTTTTCATTGACTGTCTTTGGGTACTATTGTATTCCTGTACATTGTTTCTATAACATTGTTTCTGTTAACAAAACATAAACACAACATGCAACAATTTCAAAGATTTTACTGAGTTACAGTTCATATAAGGAAATCAGTCAATTTTAAATCAATTCATTAGGCCCTAATCTATGGATTTACATTTACATTTTAGTCATTTAGCGGACACTCTTATCCAGAGCGACTTACAGTTAGTGAGTGCATACCTTTTTTTATATATATATCCTTTTTTTCATACTGGCCCCCTGTGGGAAACCAACTGAGCTACATGGGATTTCACATGAAAGGGAATACAGATATGCATTTGTTGGTTACAGATACCTTTAAAAAAAAGGGTATGGGCATGGATCAGAAAACCAGTCAGTATCTGGTGTGACCACCATTTGCCTAATGCAGCATGACACATCTCCTTCACATAGAGTTGATCAGGCTGTTGATTGTGGCCTGTGGAATGTTGTCCCACTCCTCTTCAATGGCTGTGCGAAGTTGCTGGATATTGTTGGGAACTGAAACACGCTGTCGTACACGACAATGGGCCTCAGGATCGCGTCACAGTATCTTCGTACATGCAAATTGCCATCAATAAAATGCAATTGTGTTCGTTGTCCGTAGCTTATGCCTGCCCATAATATAACCCCAACGCCACCATGGGGCACTTTGTTCACAACATTGACATCAGCAAATTGCTCACCCACACGGCGCCATACACGTGGTCTGCGGTTTTGAGGCCGGTTGGACGTACTGCTAAATTCTCTAAAACGACATCGGAGGCGGCTTACGGTAGAGAAATGAACATTCAATTCTCTGGCAACATGCCAATTGAACGCTTCCTCAAAACTTGAGACATCTGTGGCATTGTGTTGTGTGACAAAACTACACATTTTAGATTGGACTTTTATTGTTCCCAGCATAAGGTGTACCTGTGTAATGATCATGCTGTTTAATCTTGATGAGCCACACCTGTCAGGTGGATGGATTATCTTGGCAAAGGAGAA